TTTTCGTCCTTTTTTAACTCTGTTTCACATCTTAACAAACAATCTAAAATACTAATAACAAATGATAAACAATCTCGAAACATCTTCACAAGTGAACAGCTTTAACACCTAATTTATTCTTTCTTTTCCTCTTATATCCCACTCCCCTACTTTCTCTTGTTCAGTGAGAGAAGTGAGCTCGAGCTTGGCCTGCCAGGATTTTAAATCTGGGCTTGAATGGTGTCAGGGCCATTCTCATACACACGTGTAGGTGCTCATTGGTGAAGTGGTCAAGATGTACAGGGCTACTTTCCTCAGACCTAGGAAAGCTGTCTCTGAGACCATTTGGAGCCAGAAAGTGTCAGGGTCAGTCTCTCCAAAGTTCTTTTTCAGAGCCACATCTCCTTGGAGATCGACCAGTTCCATCTGGAGAGGCCCAGCATTTGCCCACTTGAAGTGCTGTGTGACTTCCTTTGAGAACCCCCTGACATCTGTGATGAGGAATGGGTTCTGAATGAACAGGGTGAGCTGCTGTCCAAGGCTGAAACTGTCAAACCGTTTGCTGAAGTTTACAATCAGCTTGTCCACAAAGTCAACAAAAGAAGATCTATCTCTCTCACCCTGAACCTGTTCCTGCACTGATGGGAAGTGTGCACAGTCTTCCTGCAGGTCTTCCTTGAACACCTCAAGTTTCCTCTGGAAGGAGCGGACAGCTGTCATCAGGTCACAAACTGTATTTTCCTTACCCTCTAGCTTTAAATTCAGTTCATTCAGGTGTGAAGTGATGTCAACCAAAAATGCTACCATATCCATCTTCTTCTCATCTTCTAAAAAGAGAGAAAATTGTGTTGCCTTCTGGCTCTTCAACTGTGCTAAAAAGGCTGCGATTTCCTTTCGGATGGACCAAAAGCACTTCAACAGCCTGCCTTTGCTGAGCCATCTAACATTGTTGTGCAGCAGAAGGTCATCAGCATTTGCATCAACTTCTCTGAGGAATTCCCTGAGCATGCGATGCTGATGGGAAGAGGATGCCCTGAGAAAGTTAATCATTCTCATCATTGTGTTCATAACCTCAGCATACTCATCTGACAGGGTGGAGCACAGAACTGATTGATGAATGATACAATGGTAAAGAGATTAGCTCAGGATTGTCCACTTTCATTCTTGCCACAGCTCCTTTCTCTCTCCCTACCATGGCAGGGGCTCCATCTGTGGTTATAGAAACCACTTGTTTTGTCTCTATTCCCCTCTGTGTTAAACATCTCCTTTATGGCCAGGTAGATGTCCTCTCCTCTTCTACTGGTCTGAAGGGGCGTAACACCTAACAGGTCTTCACAGAACTCTTTCTTCTCCTTGTTGAAGAATCTGACAAATAAACTAACAGCTGCGCATTCTCAGACACATCTGTGGACTCATCTACAGATAAGCCTAAGCATGTTGCCTTATGAATGGCTTCATCCAGCTGGGCTAGCACATCCTGGGTCAACAATTCACTTTTTTTTGTGGCTGATAATGCTGACATAGGTATTTGCTTGATTTTTTCACAAAGCTCTTCTTTTTGTTTACCCTCTAACAAGGTTTCAGCTACCGCACACATGCACTCCTTAACAACCCCTCCGTCAGTAAAGGGTTTTTTATGTTGACCCAAAATCCAAGCCTCTCTCAGGGAACATTCATTAGCACGTTGTTGAGCAGTGAATGAATGGGATAGTATCCGGGTGGATCGATCATATTGGGTTCTTAGATCGCTTATTTTCTGTGCCCTCAGTTTGGATTTAAGTGGGTATGTTAGCGCAAAAGAGCTGTGTTGTCTCGTAGTGGCGTTTCACATTCCCGCTTTTAATAATCGCCACGGTCTCATCACGGAAAATATGAGACATACTGGCTTTGAACTGCCAGCGGCAAGAATGAACATGTAACAGTCTGTCCATTCTTGATTAAAAGCTCTGTTTTCACTGTCTACCTTTCTCTTTTGAGAGCACGCCATGTATTTCCTCTCTCTGACTCTCTTCTCCGACTGTCTGTCTCTCGCCTTTGTTTTCCTCTCCTCCTCTGTGTAGCGGACTAGCGGCAGCTTACTGTTTATTCTCCCTGACTCGAATGCACAGATTTGATTGGCTGAGTATCATTACGTCAGATGACTACAACGCATGCAATTGGTTTGTGAGTTTCAGCCAGTACCGTAAAGACGATAAAAGCTGCGCCGGTTAAAATAGAAACGCTTCGCCAAAATTTAATAATTTTCACTAATTTCACGGTTACAGGTCTGGGTCCGGATAGGACAGCTTCCGGGTCTGGACACGGTCCACCTATTAGGGACCCCCGCTCTATACTGACACACTTTCTAAAAAGAAGGACACAATTAAATAAATCAGTGCTGCAATTACTTTCTTTAAGGTGTATAAAACATGCACAAACGATAGGCCTACCTTTAGATGGAGAAAAACAAACTGCTACACAGGTTTAAAAAAAAAGTAATTCAGCGACCTTAACCACACCTGTTCTTCACTATTTCACTAATGATTTCACTATTTAAATGCGTCTTTATTGGTTTATTTTATATTCTGTATATTACTGTCTTTCATTTGTTCTTCATGTACTGTATGTTATTTAGTTATTTAATCTGCCTTTTACTTGATTTACATTGTGATATTGTTTTTGTTTACCTGACTGTATATGCGCATTACTCTTCTTGAATAAACCTAAACAAAAAAAAACAAAAAAAAAACGGGTGGATGCTCGGTGGATTACAAAAGGAAAACACTTTCACAAAGGACAAAACAAAGTTTAACGCAGTCTATTGGGCCATATTTACCTTTATTTGATAGGACAGCTGAAGAGAGACAGGAAAAGGCTTACACACTTTCAGAAAAATTCTAAAAAAAAAATCTGGATATTTCCAGGAGGAGCTGCATGTGTGAACGCAAACAGCCAAATTTTTCATTCAGACTTCACCCGGAGTTTCTCCTGCCACACACCATAGTATTTTTTTCCACAGCAAATCCAAGTCAGCTGATGTGAGAACGCAGCAGGATATTCTCTGGAGAATTCACCTCGAGCCAATGGGAGGGGGGAGTGACGTGTATACTGTGACTGCTGCACGGTGCATAAAGTGTATACACCGTACGATCTCCATGCAGGTAATTAAACGACTGCATTAAGTTTTCTGTTCGTCAGTATGTTGTTCTCACTCTTTAGTTGACATTGTGATACAGGAATAGTCTGCATATGTGAAAACAGGTTAAGTGACCGCTTCTGGCATTTGGTACATTCCCTTTCCGTCAAGATTCTGGCATTTGTAAATTCCTCTCAGCGCTCGTAAAAGTGTTTGACACCTTTTAAATTTGTTTTCTAAAATGTAAATAATTATTTCCAGAGAGTGAATTTGTCTTTTGGTTTGTACTTCCCAGCCACCGTACAATACAGATTCAGACAAACCATTCCACATCATTCGCATTAATAGAATCAAGAGGAAATCACAAAGCAGTTGGGGTATTTTTGGACTACAAATAAGCATTTGACACAATAAATCATGAAATACTGATCAATAAACTAGAACGATGTGGCATCAGGGGGGATCGTATCGTAGGCAACAATTTGTGAAGTTGGGGGAGTTTTAATCATCGTGCTTGGACATTGCTTGTGGCATCCCCCAGGGGTCAGTGTTGGGTCCTAATCTGTTTATTTAATACATTAATGACATACTGTATGTAAAGTCTCTAATAAACTGAAGCTGGTCTTATTTGCAGATGATAACAATATTCTTTGTTCAGGTGAGAATCTACAATTATTAGAGGTTATTACTACAGAAATGGCAACAATTAAAAAAGTGCTTTGATATAAATAAATTGTCATTAAATTTGAATCACATAAAAATGATTTTATTTGGTAAATATAAAGCAAACACAAAAATACAGTGACAAATAGATGGTGTCAGCATTGAAAGAGTTTATGTATACACATTTGTTGGGGTAACAATAGATCACAGAATCAGCTGAAAAGCTCAAATGAAACAAATACAAGCCAAACTGTCAAGAAGCATTTCAGTCCTAAATAAAGCAAAACATCTTCTGGATCACAAATTTCTATTGTTGGTGTAAAACTTTGCAACAGTTTAAATGTGGAGCTGAAGCACAAACAAGTTTTAAAAAATGTACAAAATTTCTACGTGGTTATGATGGTGATTATAACGGTTGTTAATTTTTTTCTTATGTTAGTTTTTCTAAATGGAATGAAGGTATATATGTAAATATGTTGACAGGTATGGTGAAGGGTAAATAGGTAATGGAGAAAAAACACTAACTTAAATGTATTACTACAAACTGTATATCATTAATTAAGGGAGAAGAACATGAATATAGAAGATAAAAGAAATCAATACATGTTCAAATATGTCAATGGTTGATAAATGATAGACAAACAATGATAGACTCTTTACTGCGATGGAGGTGTGTCCATCTTGGACAAGTATAAATTGATTACACCTGTGCATGTTTGATAAATTGCCTGTTGCACGCTGAAGAAGAGCGTCGGCTCGAAACGTTCGTTTGGCAATTAAATACACAAATTTGGAGTGCTGTCCTTATCTTTTTTTAATGGATGATAGATGAAATTATATTTTGCAGAAACACATTTGTATTTAATTTATATATTTTGTATGTTTATTGGTTTATATATATAAATGTGTATTGCAGACTCGTTATTATTTATTTGTAAATAAAGATTAAATAAGGAAGCCTGTTCAACTATTAACTACAGATTAACGGAGAGGGGGTGGGATTCTATAAATTCACACTTCATCCCACTTCTTTACGAACATGAAATTCAAATGTTCTGTTGTCTTATTTACTTTTCTTTTTGTGGATCTGTTTTGTTTGTTTTTTTATCCTGAAACAAAGTGGGGAAAAGAAAATACAAATTTGAAATAAAGACTTCAATCAATCAAAAGAATCCCAGCAGAGAAAATTAAAGAATGAGTACACAGATGACAGTAAGATAATAGAAAACAACAGTTGTTATTAAGGCTGAGTTGACTTCATCATCTTATGTCACTAACAAATCTTATCATTTACATTTGTTTTATCCATAAGTATCCAAATCAAGCTGTCACAAAAAGAGCTACAGATCATTATACTCAACATGGTTTTCAAACAACCAGTCAGCCCAAAGTCCAGACACAAAGTTCAGACTTTTAGATCACTGATTTAGTCTCCTCTTCATCCTCTTCCTCTTCATCCTCCTCTTTCTTCTTCATCTCCTCCATCCTGCATGGAGTAATAAGCATTGTATGATTATTCTTCATCAAAATAAACATTAAAATCAAAAGCAGCTCATTTTTTTTATATGATCAAAGTAAGTGTAAAAAAAAGAAACATGTTATTTATACTTTGTGTCGTTGACCAAAATGTTCATTAATAAAGCATCATGTCATTTTCTCTGAAGGAGAAGACGGTCCGGCTTTAAAATGTCTATTTACAAAATGTAATTATCAAAATATGAAATAAACATTCATTCATGAACAATAGACATGACAACAAAGATCCATTTACCTTTGCTGAAGAAAAAAACATTTAAATGATGTTCATAGCTTCATCTGAAAGAATACATACTGTATATGTTGTAAATACATTTTACTCACCAATCAGGTGGGAGAAGGGCCGAAAAACGATGCCCATCACTTCCTGCAGAAGTTGCCCTAGCAAACCCCTGCAACAAGAGACACACTGATGATGTTTCTTTATTACAAATGAAATATGAAGAGCAAAGCAGACACTGAGCAACACATTAAACACTGTGTTGTTTCTTTATTCCATGAATGACACAAAGGATCAAAGTAGAGAGGAGGTGTTGATGTTTCAGTCAAACATTTCACTTGAAAACTCAACATCACTTCAACATCTTTTAAACAGGAGCATGGCGTTTGCTTTACATCAACCATGGGGGTTGTTTCATCTTTAAGGTCTTTGCACACTGAGTCTGTTTTTTTAAAATGTGTTTTTCAGATCTGTAATCCGATCAAAACGTTACACAGGAACCTCACACTCTGAGTCAGATGTGTTCATTCTTCTCTTCATTCTGAAGATTGTCAGTGTGAGACAGAATGGAGTCATCGAGCCGTGAGGATGACTTTGTGATTCTTTCAGTCCTTAAAAAATAAATAAATAAAAACCTCTGGGTCCACCCACTCCTGAAAACAAGACAAGAGCCAGGAGAGTTTCCCCTGTTGATAAAAGAGCTGCAGAATGATCAGCATCACTTCAGGTGTATTTCAGGATGTCAGAGTTTGATACGCTGCTAGCTATACTGAAACTACACATTAAAGGAACACCACCAATTTACACACAGAAACTGATCCTGAACACGGATTGGAAGGACGCAAAAAAAGTTAGAAAAACAAACCTGTTGTGAAAATAATAAAGACAGATGAAAGTTTTCAGAGTACAAACATGATCGACTCAACATGAGATTGTATTTGTTTTTTAAACATGCAGCAAAACAGACTCAGTGTGTGTGTGTGTGTGTGTGTGTGTGTGTGTGTGTGTGTGTGTGTGTGTGTGTGTGTGTGTGTGTGTGCGCGCACATGACTGTCAGGATTCAATGTTGAAAACACTTACCAGTTTTGGAAATTAATTATTTGGTATGTGACTGAGTACTGCAGGTGGATTCACGAGATGGACATGTCGATTGGTCGTCATCACTGAGAATGTTGAAAAAAGAGAGAAAGATTAGATAGTTAGATATCAAACCACAACAAATGATGAAAAACTAAAACTTCTAAATTAGACATCGATCCAGTAAGACTTGATTTAGTTCACTCTGAATGATAAACTCCTGATTCTTACATGAACTTTAAATCTGATCAACCTGACTATTTGGGACATTTCTGGACCAACAGCAACAACAAGTTTGAAAAATAAAACATTTAAAGGAAATCCATAACTTCATCAAAACAAAGAACTTCAGAGAGAATGTGTGTGTTGTTAATCATCATCCAGTGTTTGATGAAAGTAGCAGCGTGTTGAGATTTGAAATAAGAAAATTACTTAAAGGTGTAATATGTAGATTTTTAAAAATAGACTGAACATAATGTATTTTATTTTGTTGAGTACGTAAGCTCAAATATTTCCAACGGTTATCAAAACCAGAGAATTCCTTAATTTTATAGTTGTAGTGGGATGTGTCTCGTTATGGCAGCCTCTGTGACAGACATTACATATTTATCGTTGCCGCGGAAACACCGGATGTTACGTCAAAGACTCTAGCATAATGTAAAGGGAACTGCTACTGAAAACTGCCGTACTGTTGCTGTGTGTGTACGGATAAGTCGGACTTGGTTTTCATCGGGGGTGGAAAAGCAGAAAGAATCACTCCCATGATTCCCCGCCAGCCTTTACATCATCTTATGTCATTGTTTTGATTGAGAGCCCCCTGGTGGCGGAGTCTATGAACTGAAAAATAAAAACCTCTGGGTCCACCCACTCCTGAAAACAAGACAAGAGCCAGGAGAGTTTCCCCTGTTGATAAAAGAGCTGCAGAATGATCAGCATCACTTCAGGTGTATTTCAGGATGTCAGAGTTTGATACGCTGCTAGCTATACTGAAACTACACATTAAAGGAACACCACCAATTTACACACAGAAACTGATCCTGAACACGGATTGGAAGGATGCAAAAAAAGTTAGAAAAACAAACCTGTTGTGAAAATAATAAAGACAGATGAAAGTTTTCAGAGTGCAAACATGATCGACTCAACATGAGATTGTATTTGTTTTTTAAACATGCAACAAAACAGACTCAGTGTGTGTGTGTGTGTGTGTGTGTGTGTGTGTGTGTGTGTGTGTGTGTGTGTGTGTGTGTGTGTGTGTGTGTGTGTGTGTGTGTGTGTGTGTGTGTGTGTGCACACATGACTGTCAGGATTCAATGTTAAAAACACTTACCGGTACATGTTTTGGAAATCATTTCTTAGCTCAAATGACTGACAGCGGCCGCCGAATGGATAAGATGGACTGAACGATCTGTTACTGAGAATGTTGGAAAAAGAGAGAAAGATTAGATAGTTAGATATCAAACCACAACAACAGATGAAAAACTAAAACTTCTAAATTAGACATCGATCCAGTAAGATTTGATTTAGTTCACTCTGAATGATAAACTCCTGATTCTTACATGAACTTTAAATCTGATCAACCTGACTATTTGGGACATTTCTGGACCAACAGCAACAACAAGTTTGAAAAATAAAACATTTAAAGGAAATCCATAACTTCATCAAAACAAAGAACTTCAGAGAGAATGTGTGTGTTGTTAATCATCATCCAGTGTTTGATGAAAGTAGCAGCGTGTTGAGATTTGAAATAAGAAAATTACTTAAAGGTGTAATATGTAGATTTTTAAAAATAGACTAAACATAATTTTGTATTTTATTTTGTTGGGGACGTAAGCTCAAATATTTCCAACGGTTATCAAAACCAGAGAATTCCTTAATTTTATAGTTGTAGTGGGATGTGTCAGCCTCTGTGACAGACATTATATATTTATCGTTGCCATGGAAACACTGGATGTTACGTCAAAGACTCTAGCATAATGTAAAGGGAACTGCTACTGAAAGCTGCCATACTGTTGCTGTGTGTGCTTGCGGTGTACGGATAAGTCAGAGTTCATTCTCATCGGGGGTGGGGTAGCAGAGAGAATCACTCCCATGATTCCCCTCCAGCCTTAAAATCATCTTATGTCATTGTTTTGATTGAGAGCCCCCTGGAGGCGGAGTCTATGAACTGTGCCTTTAAAGACCCAAGTATTAAAATGTATAAAAAAATATTGTTTCATTTAAAACTTGATTGATGTACATAAAAATACATTGGGCCTCATTCACTAACAGTGCATACACACAAATATGTGCTTAAACCGTGCGTACAAACGTTTGAAGCACAAATCTGGGATTCATCAATGCATTCTTACTTGAATTTATTCTTACTCTGCAAACAAAAATAGAACTTCCTCAGACCATGCGTACACACAAATGATTGACCACCATTCTCAGAAAATGTTAACACACACTCTTTTAACTAAATGCATGACCTATTAAAAATACATTCAGTAAATAAATATATATAAGCAATATCAATATATATATTTTTTTTAAATGTTGACAAGACCAGCATTAAAAACGTGAATTAACTAATGCATTTACTAATGTATTAAATAATCATGAAATATTCGCCTTATCATCCTTTAACGTAAAATCTAATCATCAACCACTCCAACTAATATTGCTGAAATGAAAATATCGCATTTGTAACCAAAACCAGCTGATTAATTGGAGCCTATTTAAGAGCATGCAGGGAACATTCATGATTATGATTTACGTCTAAGAAAATGTAACGATCAGCCTTGCTGAAGCAAATTGCAGCCGGAGCCTCCATCAGGAACGCGCCTGACGATTTAGAATGATTCTGATTCACTATCATACGCAAGTTGATGAGACCAAAATTGGCTGGTACGCACGTGTCATGAATCCAACTTGGCAGTGATTTTGCGTATGCACTTATTTTATGCACAGAGTAAGAACATTTCTACGCACATATTAGTGAATGAGGCCCAAATTGAATCTATTTGTTAGAATTGTTTTGAGAAATGGCGATGTATATACAAATAAAGAAAAACGAGTGTGTGTACATGGACTTGACCATCCCGGTCATGAGCCTCATTCTGACAACCGTAGGCGTTTGGAAACCGGCGTCCTGTAGCCTGATCACCACAGACTTGAAGAGGTCAGTATTTCTTTCTCCCATCTCAACGTCCAATTATATTGTATTAATGAAAGACAATAATCACAGAGGGATCAATTCCTACGTTTCTTCAACGCTCTCGTTGCCGCCGCCATGTTTGTTCTGATACGTCACTTGGCGGAGGCTGCGACTGAGCTGTCAGAAACCGTCTACATGCCACAGAATCCTGTTTTCTTTCTGAGTTCTCCAGGTAGCCGTACTGGGATTAGGATACTGGTTTGTGTGATCATGTTGTCATGATCACACAAAAAAAACGGGATACTTAAATAACCTAAAAAATATAGTAAAAAAATAATAGTAATAATTAAACAGGATACTCAAGTCTGTGTGAAAGCACTCGATGTCAGTTTTAACCGATATAGTTAAGCCTCATCAAAATATTGATATTTTTAAAACTGTCAGTCTGAATAAGATGTAAGCACATTTCACTCACTGACTGACAGATAAGAATCCTGACTCATTATCATCATCTGCTGCTTTAGCGCCATCTATCTTCAGGTGGGAGAAGGTCGGGTTGAGCCTGTAACAATAAACACGGTTATGATGCAACTTCACCAGAAAAAAGTTCATATCAAAAGAAAATCCAGATTATTTTTAAATATGATATAAAACAGTGGAATCAGTCAAAAGAGGTTATGAGTGTTCTTTGTCATTTTATAAAATGTTCAACAAACAGGTGACTGATGACCTAGCAGATCATAACGTCTCATGTATGGAGGCTACAGCCATCCAAGTGGACGACCCGGGGTTCAACCTTTTTGACAAGCAACAGAGTCTGCTTTATGACGCTATAATGTCAATGTTTGCCTTTCTATCAACATGTAAACCAGAGGCAGTAGCATTCTTCTCTCTCTCCTTTGACTAATCCCTCCTGAAGGACGGACCAGATGAATCTGACAACTTTCTGTCATTAGATCAAACCCAGAAACTGCTTGATTCCAAAAACAATATGTACCACCACAAAGTGAAAAACCCTTTTGAATGTTTTTCTGGCTCTGCTGCTGAGAAGAAGACCTCAGGGTGGGAATCATATTACCAGAAGAGTTCAGTTAAAAAGTACTTTCCTATCAATGGATTTACATTTACATATATTTTTCTCTGAACAAGCAAACTGTGGAAATTTGACTGTTTGTGATCAAACCACATGCAGCAACTGGTCCTTACAGGGAAACTATGAAGAATGCATCAGATGTTCCTTTTAGAATATGATATAAAGCAGATTGTGTTCGCTCTGAATGGATGTCTCCTCTTTAAAAAGAAGCCTCCTCTTTTCTCTTGACTATGTCGAGTCCTTTAAATCATCTAGAAAGGAGGTCGTTTTTATTGACTTTGTGAATATGTTCAGCACAGAGAACAGGATTAAACCAGATGAACTTTGATTTGAAGTATGCTGTTTTCTCTTCAGGTCAAAGACTAACAGCAGAATTGTTCACTCATATAGATGTTAAAAATCTAAATAACATGATGTGGACTTATCAAACAAGTGTTTTCACCTGTGGTTCCTCACTGAGTCAGACATACTGAGTACTTCAGACTCTGGTCTCTGCACGGCTCTGGGCTGAAAAAGAAAATGCAGAGTTAGGATTCTCCATTTCCTCCTTAACGGACACACACAAATAAACACCTTTATTATTATAGAAGGAAACTGTTGTGCCTCAGCCACTCCACAAATGGAGGTCGGTGCTCTCAGAGAAGGACTTTAAGACGTACTGAATTATATTTTTTTGTACATAAATCACAACTTTAAAACTTGCAGAGCACACTGATCTGACTGTGTTTATATTTCAAGTTCAGAACAACATTTAAAACTAAAACGTGTGTTTATATTAAAGATTAATTTGAAAAATAAATAAATAAATAAAAGTCTGCCTGCACTGTCAGGGTCAGTGAATGCTGCAGATTAAAGTCATGAAGCTCACAGCCGACTGAGCAGAGAATCAGTACAGAAGATATACAAATATTAAGACTTATTTCAAATGTAAAACAAGAACACACGTCATGATTTTCCCTTTAAAAGTCTAAAAAACAAACAATAGAATAAACTACATCTGATTAGTTTGAGGATTTAGAAACACTGGATGGTACAACAGGCCTAGTCTACATTTATTAAAAGTTATTTATTTAAACAGACTTCTAAAATAAACATCTGACTTTGGACCTCCTCTCTCTCTCTCTCTCTCTCTCTCTCTCTCTCTCTCTCCCGAGCTTCTGAAGATATGAAAAAGTAAACACCATTAAACCAACTTCTAAATACTGAAATAAAGCTTATGAAGAATTCTTTACCCGTATGAGTTCTCTCAAACTCAGATTAATTTCTCAGTTTCGTCTAAAAATGTTGTTTGTTTACAATCCGTATCTCTCAGGCCTCACAGGATGTATCTCTTCAACATCAGCGGTGGTAAAAACACGGATATAAAATAAAGAAAACACGTCCTCTATACATTTTCTGACAAACTTTCCAAACAGAAGGACACAATTAAATAAATTACTTTCTTTAAGGTATATAAAACATGAATAAACGTTACCTTTAGATGGAGAAAAACAAACTGCGACACAGATTGATAAAGAAAGTAATTCAGTGACCTTAAACCTTAAACCAAACAAACCTGTTCTCCTTTAACCCAACCCCTTACACATTACACAGACTACATTAAAGAGGAATTAAGGAATTGTGACTCCAGCAGCTTCTTCCAGTGAACAAATGGAGGTCGTTGCTCTCAGAGAAGGACTTTAAGACGTACTGAATTATATTTTTTTGTACATAAATCACAACTTTAAAACTTGCAGAGCACACTGATCTGACTGTGTTTTTATTTCAAGTTCAGAACAACATTAAAAACTAAAACATGTGTTTATATTAAAGCTTAATTTGAAAAATAAATAAAAGTCAGCCTGCACTGTCAGGGTCAGTGAATGCTGCAGATTAAAGTCATGAAGCTCACAGCCGACTGAGCAGAGAATCAGTACAGAAGATATACAAATATTAAGACTTATTTCAAATGTAAAACAAGAACACACGTCATTATTTTCCCTTTAAAAGTCTAAAAAACAAACAATAAAATAAACTACATCTGATTAGTTTGAGGATTTAGAAACACTGGATGGTACAACAGGCCTAGTCTACATTTATTAAAAGTTATTTATTTAAACAGACTTCTAAAATAAACATCTGACTTTGGACCTCCTCTCTCTCTCTCTCTCTCTCTCTCTCTCTCTCTCTCTCTCTCTCTCTCGCTCTCTCTCTCGCTCTCTCTCTCTCTCTCTCTCTCTCTCTCTCTCGCTCTCTCTCTCTCGCTCTCGCGCTCGCTCTCGCTCTCTCTCTCTCTCATTTCTGACTCTATCCACTGTCCTGTCTTAAAATGAAGGCTTAAAAACCCAAAATAAACCTTTTTGTCTAACCTAAAAAGTTATTCAAACTAAAGTGTAGGTTTAAATAATGACGTCAAATTGTCCTTTAATATTAATCAACTTTTCTAAAAGTTATCAATATGTAGACTAACAAATGTTATCTTAGGTTTTATAGCGTAAAGGCTGCTGACGTGTTTCTTTATTTTGTATCCGAGCTTCTGAAGATATGAAAAAGTAAACACCATTAAACCAACTTCTAAATACTGAAATAAAGCTTATGAAGAATTCTTTACCCGTATGAGTTCTCTCAAACTCAGATTAATTTCTCAGTTTCGTCTAAAAATGTTGTTCGTCTCAGTCCTCACAGGGTGTATCTCTTTAAATCCAGCGGTGGTAAAAATACGGATATAAAATAAAGAAAACACGTCCTCTATACATTTTCTGACAAACTTTCCAAACAGAAGGACACAATTAAATAAATTACTTTCTTTAAGGTGTATAAAACATGCATAGACGTTACCTTTAGATGGAGAAAAACAAACTGCGACACAGATTGATAAAGAAAGTAATTCACTGACCTTAAACCTTAAACCAAACAAACCTGTTCTCCTTTAACCCAACCCCTTACACATTACACAGACTACATTAAAGAGGAATTAAGGAATTGTGACTCCAGCAGCTTCTTCCAGAGAACAAATAAATAAATCAAAGTCTGCCTGCACCGTCAGGGTCAGTGAATGCTGCAGATTAAAGTCATGAAGCTCACAGCCGACTGAGCAGAGAATCAGTACAGAAGATATACAAATATTAAGACTTATTTCAAATGTAAAACAAGAACACACGTCATTATTTTCCCTTTAAAAGTCTAAAAAACAAACAATAAAATAAACTACATCTGATTAGTTTGAGGATTTAGAAACACTGGATGGTACAACAGGCCTAGTCTACATTTGATTCAAAGTGTTTTCTTAAATAGCTCTGATTTTAGGAATATTATTGACTCTGGTGCTCCAGAAGCTTCTTCCAGAGAATGTGTGACTACTGCTGTCTGTGTTTTTAACAGAGCAGACACTAATGTGATGTTAGTGTAACAGTGTTAATGATTCCACTTATTTCACTATCTTTGATTGTGTGAATACAGTTTTACAATGGACTGGTACAAACTGTGATGAATCTCTCAGTTTGGTCCAAAATGTGGTTCGTTATACCCTCCTTATCTCTCAGGCCTCACAGGATGTAGGCTATCACTCTAACTACAGCGGTGGTAAAAACACAGATATAAATAAAGAAAACACGTCCTCTGGCCTCTACATTATACTCTATACCAGGGGTATTCAATTAAAATTCAAAGAGGTTCAGTTAGAGAACATTTTCTCAAGCATAGGTCCGGAACATCGTAATGTCTAACTTGAGTTATAGTTCAGTGTCATACACATTAAAGTAGCCTAGTAGTTGTATCAACGTATGTATGAAGTCAACAACTGACTGATTAAATAAAGAAATCCAATAACATTTCAACAATATTTATTCAGATTTCACATTGAACAGGGATTATAAATAATAAGTAGTATTCTAATAATAAACAAATGCTCTCTCTCATTTCAAGTAAAATAAGGGCTGCATGTAAAAAATAAAATAGAGCTTTTGAAAAATGTGCATATCAAAATAAAGTGCTTCATTTTTGAAAAATGAAGTAAAAAGGGCAGCTTGAGTTTCCCTTTTCTTTTCGTCCTTTTTTAACTCTGTTTCACATCTTAACAAACAATCTAAAATACTAATAACAAATGATAAACAATCTCGAAACATCTTCACAAGTGAACAGCTTTAACACCTAATTTATTCTTTCTTTTCCTCTTATATCCCACTCCCCTACTTTCTCTTGTTCAGTGAGAGAAGTGAGCTCGAGCTTGGCCTGCCAGGATTTTAAATCTGGGCTTGAATGGTGTCAGGGCCATTCTCATACACACGTGTAGGTGCTCATTGGTGAAGTGGTCAAGATGTACAGGGCTACTTTCCTCAGACCTAGGAAAGCTGTCTCTGAGACCATTTGGAGCCAGAAAGTGTCAGGGTCAGTCTCTCCAAAGTTCTTTTTCAGAGCCACATCTCCTTGGAGATCGACCAGTTCCATCTGGAGAGGCCCAGCATTTGCCCACTTGAAGTGCTGTGTGACTTCCTTTGAGAACCCCTGACATCTGTGATGAGGAATGGGTTCTGAATGAACAGGGTGAGCTGCTGTCCAAGGCTGAAACTGTCAAACCGTTTGCTGAAGTTTACAATCAGCTTGTGCACAAAGTCAACAAAAGAAGATCTATCTCTCTCACCCTGAACCTGTTCCTGCACTGATGGGAAGTGTGCACAGTCTTCCTGCAGGTCTTCCTTGAACACCTCAAGTTTCCTCTGGAAGGAGCGGACAGCTGTCATCAGGTCACAAACTGTATTTTCCTTACCCTCTAGCTTTAAATTCAGTTCATTCAGGTGTGAAGTGATGTCAACCAAAAATGCTACCATATCCATCTTCTTCTCATCTTCTAAAAAGAGAGAAAATTGTGTTGCCTTCTGGCTCTTCAACTGTGCTAAAAAGGCTGCGATTTCCTTTCGGATGGACCAAAAGCGCTTCAACAGCCTGCCTTTGCTGAGCCATCTTACATTGTTGTGCAGCAGAAGGTCATCAGCATTTGCATCAACTTCTCTGAGGAATTCCCTGAGCATGCGATGCTGATGGGAAGAGGATGCCCTGAGAAAGTTAATCATTCTCATCATTGTGTTCATAACCTCAGCATACTCATCTGACAGGGTGGAGCACAGAACTGATTGATGAATGATACAATGGTAAAGAGATTAGCTCAGGATTGTCCACTTTCATTCTTGCCACAGCTCCTTTCTCTCTCCCTACCATGGCAGGGGCTCCATCTGTGGTTATTGAAACCACTTGTTTTGTCTCTATTCCCCTCTGTGTTAACATCTCCTTTATGGCCAGGTAGATGTCCTATCCTCTTGTACTGGTCTGAAGGGGCGTAACACCTAACAGGTCACAGAACTCTTTCTTCTCCTTGTTGAAGAATCTGACAAATAAACTAACAGCTGCGCATTCTCAGACACATCTGTGGACTCATCTACAGATAAGCCTAAGCATGTTGCCTTATGAATGGCTTCATCCAGCTGGGCTAGCACATCCTGGGTCAACAAGTCACTTTTTTTTGTGGCTGATAATGCTGACATAGGTATTTGCTTGATTTTTTTACAAAGCTCTTCTTTTTGTTTACCCTCCAGCAAGGTTTCAGCTACCGCACTCATGCCCTCCTTAACAACCCCTCCGTCAGTAAAGGGTTTTTTATGTTGACCCAAAATCCAAGCCACTCTCAGGGAACATTCATTAGCACGTTGTTGGGCAGTGAATGATTGGGATAGTATCCGGGTGGATCGATCATATTGGGCTCTTAGATCGCTTATTTTCTGTACCCTCAGTTCGGATTTAAGTGGGTATGTTAGCGCAAAAGAGCTGTGTTGTCTCGTAGTGGCGTTTCACATTCCCGCTTTTAATAATCGCCACGGTCTCATCACGGAAAATATGAGACATACTGGCTTTGAACTGCCAGCGGCAAGAATGAACATGTAACAGTCTGTCCATTCTTGATTAAAAGCTCTGTTTTCACTGTCTACCTTTCTCTTTTGAGAGCACGCCATGTATTTCCTCTCTCTGACTCTCTTCTCCGACTGTCTGTCTCTCGCCTTTGTTTTCCTCTCCTCCTCTGTGTAGCGGACTAGCGGCAGCTTACTGTTTATTCTCCCTGACTCGAATGCACAGATTTGATTGGCTGAGTATCATTACGTCAGATGACTACAACGCATGCAATTGGTTTGTGAGTTTCAGCCAGTACCGTAAAGACGATAAAAGCTGCGCCGGTTAAAATAGAAACGCTTCGTCAAAATTTAATAATTTTCACTAATTTCACGGTTACAGGTCTGGGTCCGGATAGGACAGCTTATTAGGGACCCCAGTTACTGACACACTTTCTAAAAGAAGGACACAATTAAATAAATCAGTGCTGCAATTACTTTCTTTAAGGTGTATAAAACATGCACAAACGATAGGCCTACCTTTAGATGGAGAAAAACAAACTGCTACACAGGTTTAAAAAAAAAGTAATTCAGCGACCTTAACCACACCTGTTCTCACTATTTCACTAATGATTTCACTATTTAAATGCGTCTTTATTGGTTTATTTTATATTCTGTATATTACTGTCTTTCATTTGTTCTTCATGTACTGTATGTTATTTAGTTATTTAATCTGCCTTTTACTTGATTTACATTGTGATATTGTTTTTGTTTACCTGACTGTATATGCGCATTACTCTTCTTGAATAAACCTAAACAAAAAAAAAAAAAAAAAAAACGGGTGGATGCTGCCGGCTCGGGCAACGCAAATGACGCCACTCCATACTGAATGAATCAGACGAAGTAGGAACAAATATCTGCCTACTGTGCGCTCCTACTGAACAGTAGATACTAAGAGTATACAGCACGGATAGTAAAGTACTGTCTACTGCCTGCTGACAGATTGAGTAGGTACTTGGCAATTCGGATGCACCCACAGTCACCACCACACATGTATGGAGGCCCAGAAGTGAAGATTGAGCAGCATTAGCTACCGACTATACCTGTAAGTAACTACAGCTGTCAGATATGTAGTACAATAACATATGATATTTCTCTCTGAATTATAGTGGAGCAGACGTATCGAGCGGTATAACATTTTAATACTGAGGATAAAGTCAGCAAGTTAAATTTTACATCAGTACTTGAGTGAATGTATTCAGTTACTTCCCATATCTAGGAAACTATTGTACAAAACCATAACAGACAAACATCTTCTAAATAAAGCAGGTTATATTTGTCAACAATCTCACTCTCTATTACGTCTGGTAAAGACTTCATGACCAGGTTTGCTCTCACAGGTGAATCATTTCATTCCTCTCACCTTCTGAGGAGACAAACTGTCCGACAGCCGACGACCCTCCGCCTCCCGTCTCCACAAACTCCACCTCAGACACGATGATGTTGTCCTCCAGCACGGAGCCGCAGCCCATACAGACCGCATCTCCACGCGCCTGGTCAACATCGATGTCCGAGCTGCCGCAGCTCTTACACACCCTGGAGCTCATGGTGTCGCACGGCAGGAAGCCCCAAAGCCTGATGAGGAAAAGAAAATTAAACTTTATTGTTTTTTTTAACACTGTTCTAATGCTCTGCCCGGTTTAAACCCCTTTGTATTGTCTTGTATTTTCAATTGTGATCACTTAATGAAGCTATGAAAGAAAGATATGAGCTCGTTCCATACTCAAATTTATGCTCAAACTACAACTGTGCACTTAATCACAAATTTCGTTATTGAGGAATTGCAATAAACACATCGCGCGCTACCATCAAATTAACCAGTTTAATTTATTTTGCATTTTGGAGTTTGGAGATTCTGTTAATCTAGGATTTTCAGGGCGATACAGATATCGATATTGGGGAAAGTAAG